CAGACAACCTCTCGTCAATATGCGTTTTCTGCATTGCATAGCTGCAAAAAACGCATAAAAATTATACCAATGCTCAACGGATGACTTTTTTTCTGGTCTACCATACCTTGTTTCTTCCAGTTGACCTTGTTCACTTTCTAAAGTTAACGAATTTAGAAAAAATTACTAGTGGAGTTTTGTACGCAAAAACATACCAAGAAAGTCAGCAAAATTGATTCGTATACGTAAAATTCAAGAAAGTGCAGTGATGAAGTACTGATGGAAATTGGACAGAGGGTGCTCTCTCTAATGAGATGAATCGAATTGTTTTTTTTTTAAATTAGTTTGTATCGACTTATGTTTATATTGAATAAGTTTGCATCGATGTCACATTTTTATCTCATTTTTAGGGCTTTCAAAAAATGTGGTTTCGTTGTTTTGTTTTGCTTTTTTTTTGAGTGTAGGATTGATTGTGGTAGACTTAGCCTGTGTTTTTATGCGTTTTTTGCTCTGTAACAGCAGTACAAAACGCGTATTGTCATGAGGTTGTCTGTGTATCTGCAACAATTTGTCCGTAACTTTCAACTCGGGAACTACAAAAGCTAGAAGGCTGAAAATTTAGGGTAATGCTCCCCACTCACGTGTGACCCTGATAAATTTAAATTCAGCCTCCCTGTATCCGTGGGTAACACTTGCGGCCTCGTAGAATTTTTGGCGGGTAAAATTATTTTCACAGGAACCATGAAAACTGGAGGGCTGAAATTTTGTGGGCATATTTCCTGCCCACGTACTACCCAGGAAATTTAAGTTGTGGTCTCCACTACCCGCGGGTAATTACGGCCCTGTGGAATTTTTGGCGGGTAAAATTATTAGCGCAGGAACCATGGATGCTAAAAGGCTGGAATTTTGTGGACATGTCCGCCGCCTAAGTACGACCCAGAAAATTTAAATTCAGCCTTCCCCTCCCGTGGGTAACACGTACAGCCTTATAAAAAGTTTTGGCGGGGAAATTATCTCGGGAACCACTGAATCCAGGAAGCCGAAATTCTACGGTAATGATCCCCTGCTATTGTACCCTGCAAATTCAAATTCGGCATTCTTGCTCACTCGGGTATTACCTACGGCCCCTTGAAATTTTTGGCGGGTAAATTATTATTTAGGAAGCCACGATATCTAGGAAGTCGAGGTTTTAGGGTAATGACCTACTGTCCATGTCCGGTGGAAATTCAGATTTAGCGTCCCCACGCGCCCAGTTACCAAATACGGCCTCGTGAAAGTTTCGGCGGGGAAAATTATTATCTCGAGTACCAGGAAAGTTGGGGAACTAAAATTTTAAGGCGATACCCCCTATCAACGTGCGACCCTCGCAAATGTGGATTCAGCCTCCGCGCGCCCTTGGCTACCACATACGGCCCATGAAAGTTTTGGTAAAAAAGTTGTTATCTCGTGAACTGCAAAAGTTAGAAAGCTGAAATTCTAGCGTGGAATCCCCTGCCCACATATAACTCCGCAAATTTTGAACTTCCGTGTGGGAAGTTTTGGGGAAAAAATCATTATCTTGGGAGACAGAAGAGTTAAATGAGGGGAGGGGGCTAAAAATTTCAGGAGAATGTTTCCTGCCTAAACAGAGGCTTAACAAATTTGAATTCAGTTCCTAAGTATGCCGAGGTCTCAAGTACGACCACGTGAAAGTTTTATCACAAAAATCTTTCAAAAGCCGGAAAATTAGGGGATTCAAATTTTGGAAGGATGTTCAACCTTCGAGGTTTCACATTTCGCTTTTACGTGCCAATATTTCAATTATTTATGCACAGACCAAAGTGCAAGGCAGTGGAAATCATTAACAGGCAATCGTTCGGTGGACGGAATTGCACAAAACGTATGATCGCGCTGTCTATTCGCGATCATACGTTCTGATGTCTATTCTGATGCGCGTTGCTATTTATTTAAGCTGTTACAATAATAGATGTTAAATACTAATTGGAGGTATGCAGCTATGGATCGGAAGGCATGGCACACAGCAGCTCCCCGATGTGTGGAGATCTTAATGTGCTGTTAAGTTTTATGCTGCTCTTTACTCAGTGTGGGGCTTTGTTTACTTGTCTGATGAACTGCCGTAATCTGTGCTTGCGTTATAGCAGGAAGAAAGTCGTCGTCGTTACGAAGATACAATTACGCAAGTGAAGCATCGTGCTGTTGAATTAAGCTGCCCAAGGTCGGTGGAGTCGATCGCTGCTCTGGCTGATTTTACTCAGATGCCAGCCGAAGTCTCGTACGCCAGCTCGGAAGGTCTAACAGCTAAAAAATGCCAGCTCTGTGATATACTGGTATCATTTTTTGCAAAATTTCTTTCACTTTGCTATGAGCTTCTTTGACGGGGACTAGGGGGCTTCATTTTGTGTGGCGCTAATAGCCAGTGTACCTCAGACATACGTTGTGCTGTAAGATCCATCATCGCTGTGAGCCACTTTTGCATTTCAGTTGGACAGCGATTTCTCGCTGATGGCTCACTATCTTAGTATTTCTCATATTTCGAAAGCAGATATTGACCCACTACAGCTAACCTGTGATTGTTTGGTTCGTTTTTCTTACAAAAGTTTGCAACTTTGTAAGCGTACAAAATGGTTTACTGGAATGCTACTTGTAAAACCTAGGCCATTGTGTTCTTATTACACTGCTTTCCATGTCACTGTTTTCGGTTATTTTGTTGTCTTTCTTTTTTTGAAATTTACATTAACATTTTTTGTTGCCTTTTAGAAAACGCAAATCGAACAAAATACCGCTGATGTGACAGATGACGGATTGAGGAAAAGATCCATTGACTGTGAAAGTGGACGATCTAAACTCAGCATTAATAATGCGAAGAAACGGCGCAACCGTATCCGGCAAAAATTACT